CCTTCCAACGTGGAGGGATGCTCTCTGTCTCTGGACAGATGGGGAAAGGCCCAGGACCAGCCCAGGAAGATTTGGTGGACTTTGCAGAGCCCCATTGAGGGCTCTACCCTGCCTGGGGAGTGCAGGGTGGATGGGGTAGAGGTTGGTAGGGGGAGGGGGAGGAGGGATGGGGTGAGGGGAGGGAGAGGGAGAAGGGACTTACATGTGAAACAAGCTTGTTCCCAACTTGAACAAATAAAAAAAATTTTTTTTTAAAAAAAATACTCCTTGGCCACTATATAACCTAACTTAGGAAAGTACACTGTGATTTTAAGCAATGTAAATTCTGATAGAAATGACAGAAGTTGAACATTCCTGGCTCTTTGCCCAGTTGTATCCACATCCTTTTCCACAGACAGCCTCATGGTGGCAAAGCACACATTCCTGTCTTCTGACTTTGCACCACTTGTGTGACTTGTGTTTCTGTTTCACTCTTAGATGCCCTGGAGCTAGGGCTAATGCTGGTTGTGAACTACCCAACCTGAGTGCTGAAAACCAAACTCAGGTCCTCGGAAGAGCAGCAAGCATCACTGTGATAATTACTAATAGATGCAGAAGACACAAAGTGGCCAATACAAACATCAGTAACTAAATCACTATATAACTACTGGCTATTAATCACTAGCTATTAATCTTACATTTCCCTCTCTTGAGAGACAGTACTAGCATAGCAAAGTAAGAATTCTCAACACAATGCCATTCAAATAGCCAAGATCACATGGACCATTTAGCTTCAAATTCTAGTTGGATGTATTCTCCTGTCTCTACGTCTGGTCTTAGACGTGCAGATAGTAGCCATGGCAGCACTGCTGAGGACAATGATGAGAACACTGGTGTCTTTTCTATATTGATACGGTTAATACAGGCTTGTGTTGTGTCAGCATCTGCCTAACTCATTAGGGTAATATTTTTAATTATTTAAAAGATGCTATCTTATTTTAATATTTGGGAATTTTTTAAAAATGAAAAAAATAGGTCAGCTTCTTCTCTGATATCTCCATTTCTTTCCAACTAGAGTCAGCAAAGACATTATTAAGTGATAGGTAGCTCGTGGATCATCTTTGTTTCTAAACCACACTCCTATCACTTTAACCACATTTAGAATGACACCAATGGGAAAATGCAGATTATATGAGATTATTCAAATCAGAATCTTGTATGTACTGAGCCTGATCCAAGAGAGAGCCAGTTAACCCGTCATTCTTATAGAACAGGTATTCTATTTGTGTATACTATGGCTGCCTCTACTTTACCCAAGCAGCAAGCTCCAAGCCATATGTACAAACATATAAAACAAGCTATACAATTACTCTAAATAAACATTTCAAGAATCTTCTTAATTAAAAACCTTAGAAAATATTTTTTTTTTCAGAGACATATTTTCTCTGTGTAGCCCTGGCGGTCTGAGAACTCACTCTATTGACCTGTCTGGCCTCGAACTCAGACATCCGCCTGCCTCTGCCTCCCCAGTGCTATGATTAAAGGTGTGTGCCACCTCTGCCCAGAAGAAAAGAATTTGGTAGAGATCAGATTTTACTTTTATTAGCAGAATTTGCTGGCGTGCGCTGCTAAGCTCTCATACCTGAGGTTCCAACCACGACATCCCAAGGGGAGCTGATGGGCTGCTTCTCGCCTCTCTCTCCCCCCTCTGTATCTGTCCCTTGAACACCAACGCCAGCTACAGTGCTCACTTTCTCAGCTTCTAGGTCAATCTATAAAAAATACAGTAAGCGTTATTCAATGCATGTTACTTTCACTTTCGGTGAGTGAATCATTTTAACAGAATATACAGTGTCTTTGAAACACAGTGTTTTATAAGGATATTAGAGCAGACTTGTCACTTAGATGTACAGCTAGTCCCCCTCTCTCATGTCCTGTAATAAAAGGGAATGGACTCCCAACACACTACCTCATGCGTTTACAAACCTTCAAACATCAAGCCAGACTGAAGAAGAAGCCACCTACTGCAGGACTCTATCTGTGTGAAAGGTTCAGTAAGCGTCCATCAGTAGCCAGAAAGTTGATTGCCTAGAGCTGAGAATGGTGATTACCTTTGTGTGACAGCTCCTAATTGGGAGCTGAAATATTCTAAAAACGATTTAAAGCTATGACTGCAAAAACCTATTAAACTGATTAAAAACTAGTGAGTTCTATACTTACATGGGTGACCTTTCTGATAAACCACAATAAAGTCATTAAGATAATCCCGTGCATAGGACACTCGTGTTTTTCAGGTCATATGCAGATAAGCATATCACAACGGTTAGCTACGGTTTGCTCGTGTGAGGGAATGGCAAGGGATGTGGGAAAGGGGATACAATCTATAAACTGACCAGGCAGTGCTTGGGAGGCAGAGGAAGACAGATCTCTGAGGGTCCAGGCCAGCCTGGTCTACAGAATGAATTCCTGGACAGCCACGGCTACACAGAGAAACTTTGTTTTAAAAGTCAAAGCAAAACAAAACAACCCTGTAAGTTAATAAAACTATTGTAGACAAAGCAGGGTGTGCACGAACAGTGATGCCTGTCCAGTGGATGTAAGAGGGTGGTGAGCTTACACATCTGCAGACGAGGTCTGCAGAATAAAATTCAGTAACTATTTCTGTGGAAAGACAAAGGGAGAAACAATGCAGCTTCCTGTCTTCACAGACACCAGTCATGTCACACTGAATGGACACCAACCTTAGGAAACCCAGGATTTTTGTGATGACACGACTTTAATAAACAGGCATTTGAGAGGGGGCACAGTAAATAAGAACAAGCATTTCTGATGTTGCCAAGTAGGTGTCTCACTACTCAGTGAGTGATCAGACATCACTGACAAACTACAAAAACAACTCCCAAAGAAAATCACTCATGAGAACAGACCTGTAAGAGCTCAGTAATTAAAATCACATCATTTTTCTGTAAACTATACAACAATACTAATGAAGTGCTACCTAAAAAAGGGGCTTCTTGACCAAATAAATACTCCCCCTAACTTCAAGTTAGCATATGTAAATGTCTAGGAAGTTTCCAAGAATCAAAAAACATACCCACTTTAGTGCTTTAAGTCACAATATATATTGATAAAAATAAATACATACAAACATTTCATTAAATATATATAATTTGTTAGTAACTTACTCAACAAATATTTATTGAGCAATTCAACAGCCAAGTTCTCCTCAGCAGCAAAGAAAACATTGCTTTTGCCAAGACACACACAGCAGTGGGTACCACTACAGTCTAGATAGTTACTTGCTATAATATGAATACTATGTGACACCTCTGCCAAATGAGTGAAGACAGATGTCAATGCTGAATGAAAGTGAAGTATCAGAAGCATTGTGTTTACCTAACAAGACAGATTACAGGCACCTTAGTTATTTTCAAAATTTACAATAGACTATATTTGAAATCACTAATGGTAGGAAATATTAAAAATAACTGGCTTTATCTATAATGGAATATGACAGTTATAGCAATCCTGTGACTAATACAGAATGAGTAAAACCTGCAAAATGCTGTTTAATAAATTCTATTTGTTTTAAAAAATTCTCTAGAAATAGTCTTTGAAGTCCAAATTTGAATAAGAGTATATTGATAGAGAATTTTTTTGAAACCTTAATGTATTTTTTCCTTTCCCTCCTCCCCACTCTTCCTTCTTTTTTAATACAGGGTCTCATGTAGCCCAACCTGGCCTCCAACTTGTAACATGGATGACCCTGGACTCCTGATATTAAAACATGAACTTAAAATGGAAAATTACCTTTCTTATAAGGTGGTTTTCAGTGTCGGCCACATAGATGACATTATTCACGATAGCTACACCCTGTGGAGAATTAAAAGATGACTCTGAAAACATTCCATCTTTTCTTCCAGGGTTAGGTCCTAAAAGACAAGGTAGTTGTGAGACAATCTTTTTTTCACATTAAAAAGCAACTTCTAAGTAACAAACCTCCAAACAAATAATTTAAAAAATTACATTTAATGCTATTATTTAAAAAAATAAACAACACAGCATTTCAGTATTTCCATCTATCTAAAAATGAAAATAAGGGGCTAGAGAGATGGCTCAGCAGTTAAAAGTGCTGGCTGCTCTTCTAGGGGAAGGGATTCCAGCACCCACATGGCAGCTCACAACTGTCAACACTAGTCCTGGGATACAATGCCTCCTCTACTCCCAGAAGGCACTGCACACACACGGTGCACAGATATAGGTGCAGGCAAAACATCATACATACAGAAAAATCATTAAAAATTTAAAATAAAGATGTTTGCCGTTTTCCTCTATTTCTCTAAGTCTATCTATTCTGGCTAGCATACAGCAGAAGAAAATAATTTTCAAAGCATTTTAAATACCTGCTACATAGATTAGAAAGTTAAAAATTACTTTAACCTCTCAGCAGCTAAAAGGATGATTAAAAATGATTTACTGGATGTGTGTGTGTTTGCCTGCATGCATGTATAAGCACCATGTGTGTGTCTGGTACCCAGAGGTTGGAAGAGGTCGTCAGTTCTCTGGAACTGAGTCAGTTACAGATGGTTGTGCTGGGAACGGAACCCAGGTCTTCTGCAAGAACAAGTGCTCTTGCCTTAACTGCTGGGCCATCTCCCTAGCCCCCAAAGGGGTAATTTTTTAAAGACAATTTAGACAACAGACCCCTTTGGTAATAAAAGGAAACTGCACGCACACTCCTTCCCTTGAAAATTATTTACACTCAAAACTGCCGTCCGCAGAACTACACCTTGGAGCCACACTGTCTTCGGGAGTCACGAAGCCCAGGTGACACTCATCCCTACCCTGCTTCACTGCCATACAGTCGTGTAACATTCTCCAGTTTTGGAACACCCCAGCTCCAAGGAGGGGTGGTGTGGCACGGTAATACACACCTTCGGCTACCCAAAGCCTCTAGGTCAATTGTCACAGCCTGCTTTGCACACTCCCACTGCCTTACACAGCAGGCAGAGAGGTAGTCAGGGAACACAAGTCCATTAGCTCCCAGCTCTAGCTTTCCTAGCTGGTGGTCTAGGTGAGCGCTCTATGTCTTAGTTTTACTTCTGAACTAACAATACCCCGAGTCTCAGCATTACGGGAGTGGAAACAGATGCAGGCCGTGTGTCTGGAATGAAGCCAGGCATGTGGCTTGCCACCGTCACTATTAATACTATTACTGTTGCTGACGTTAGGAATGGGGAAGAGCTCTGTGGTCGGTCACTTCAGATCTGAACACAGTGAGCAGTGTCACCACCTAAATGTCCAATGAGACACTGTCGGAGGGACATGCTAAGAACCCTGACAAAGTCTGTTAAGTCACATAAAATCAGTAGCTCTTGAAACTATGGGACCAAAGCTGGGGGCTGGAAGCTGGCTTTACAAGTAAAAGAACTTTCTCCACGTCTGCCACCCTGAGACTGACCCTGTGACCCAGATGGTGGAAGGAGGGACCGACTCCTACGAGCTGTCCCTCACCTCTATGCTGCGACACGTGTATCCTTCTACTCCCCAACACACAATAAACACATAAATGTAAGACAGAATCTTAGGTGGGTGTGGAAGCTTAGGTTTGTAAATCTTGGAGGCAGATGGACTGCTATGAATTCAAGGTGAGTCTGGGATATAGTGAGTTCCAGGTCTGCCTGGGCTAGAGACAGAGACCTGTCTAAAAACTCCCAAGTTAATAATACAGCATCAAAAAAAGGCTATATTTTTTGAGGCACACTGGAGAACACCATTTGCAGATGTTTTCTGTTAAAAGAACATTGTTGGGTTGGGTGTGGTGGTGCAGGCCTTTAATTCTGTCTTAAGAGGCAGAGGCAGGTATATCTCTGTGAGTTTCAGAGCAGACAGAGCTACACAGAGAGCTCTAGGCCAAGCAGAGATGTACAGTGAGAGCCTGTGTCAGGAAACAGCACTTACCTACACCATTTTTAATGTTACAGTATACTAATATCTGGGTGGGAAGATGGCTCAGCTGGTAACGCACCTGTTGTGCGACCACAAGGATCCGAGTCTGGATTGCCAGCACACACAAAAAGCCAGGCAAGGCAGCACATGCCCTTAATCCCAGAGGAAGGTGGACCAACGTGACTTGAGGCCAGTTTGGTCTACAAAGAGACTTCCAGGACACCTAGGACTTCACCTTTGACCCTGTCTTAAAACAATAATAAGAGCAACAACAAGGACACCTGTGGTGGGGCTAGAGGACAAGGCTAGCAGAGTGCTGAGCAGGCCTAGCCGCACCCATGGGCCTCAGGCTCACTGGGAGACCACACAAACCTCGGGCTTCTGTGTCAGCATACAGACTCACACGAGCAGGTACAGACTCCACACACACCAAAACCATAAAGACCAGTAAAATTCAAGACATTTTTTCAAGTAACAATTCTCCTAACTGCTCATTACAACTGAAAATAACAAGTAGCACACACACTCCACAAAACCACACAGACTCTAATAAGAACAATGACACAAGCGATGAGCCTATCTTGGCATACTACGATGAGCAATGGCTCAGGAACACAGCTGAAGTACTTCCCTACGTAAAATGCTTCCTGTGCTATGAAGTGGGATTGGCTATAAGGACACGGTTCCTTTCCATCTCATATCTGTTGTGTGTCAATTCAGCCCAGAGAAGCAGGTTAGTCTGAATGAACTTAGGAGACTGTGCTAATCGAGCAGATGGAAACAAGAGGCCTGATCTCATCAAAGGCAAGGAGACATGGAATGAGGCGGCCGGTGCTCTCTCTCGTGAAAGGGGGGGGATCCAGACGTATGCTTTAGTTCTTAAGGACCAAATAAGAATAAAAGTAAAATAGTGTACAAGCCCAAGCCTGTTGACTTTATAATCTAAATACTAAGTTTCTTGGTCACTGTCTTGAAAACTATATGGACATATTTTGTTAGAGAAGAAAACATGAAACTTCTATTTAAAATGTCATTGACCTAAAATTTTGGCATATATTTCCATGAACAAATAAAAGTGACATTTTTATTAAAAAAACAGGATGGAACACACAAATATACCTAAAAACTATATAACTTAATGATTTCCTGTTTTTGACATGGAGCTTCTGGGTTTTGTTTGTTCTGAAAAGGAAAGGGAGGTTAACTCAGATACCACAGACTAAATAACAAAATAACTGGCTGCTTTTGTGTATTTGCTTCAACTCTTTTTAAAGTGAAATCACATTACATAGCATGTTACATAGCCCTTACCTCCGATGCTGCACTCAATCTGCCCGTTTTTCTGAATGACCAAGATTCTGTGGTGCCCGGTGTCTGCAACCACCAGTCTGCCAGTAGCGTGGTCCACTGCTACTTTGCCAGGGAACAGCAATGGTGACAGTGGCAGAGACTCTTTAAAGAGTTTTATTCCAATCTTGCCATCTCTGATCTGTCCCCTGTCTTTGTAATACTTTAAAGCCATAGAAGTATATAAAAACAGTTTATCTTTGTGTCCCTCTCCAATCAAAGAAAACAGCATGTTTCCACGAGGTCCCAGTATGACCAGTGTTGGCCAGCAGGAGACTTCAAGCTCCTGCCAAAGGCTGGCGTCTGCATCGTTAACCACAGGGTGGGTGATGTTGTACCGAAGGACAGCACTCTTGATATTGTCCAGGACCTTTTCATTCGGAAACTTAGCTGAGTGAACACCCACAATCAGAAGGCCATCTGAAAATGGAAGGTGTATGTTAGACATTATGAAATCTTACAAACATCATCCATACATTAGTTTGCTCATTATATAAACAACCTAGATTTTAAAAGAACTGTAAGAGTGCTTTTAACTGTATTTAAACATGTGTATACAAAATTAATCTAAATCTCAGACAATCTTAATTTCTCCATATAAATGCGCAGGTTCAGACTCATATGTGGTCTTAGAACTCTGCTCTACTAAGGCCAGCCACAGGGACGCACAGCACAGCAGGCAGGGGCCCCTGGCACTGAGCCAGAAGTTCTGCTATTGGCTGAAGTCAAATGGGCAGCTAACACCCTGAAACCCCACTGCATTCTGGGAGAGAACCAGGGAGGCTGGAGTGTGTGCGGGAAGCAGTGAGCTTATTCTCTAAATTGACATGCACAAGGCAGGGCCAATAAAGCACTGCAGATGCCGAGCACTGAGACCTGAATTACTAAATAAACAGGAAAGACATCGAAGGATGAGCACAGGGGCTGGAGGAGGGGTGGCTCAGGTCAGGGGCTTGGGCCCCTGGCACTCAAGTAGTGACTCACATCCATCTGTAAGTCTGGGTTCAGAGGATTCAGCGCCCTACTTTGATACTGCAAGCACGGCATGCATGTGGTAAACACACGTATGCAGGAAAAACTCACACATAAAATAAAATGCCTTTTTGAGAAGACAAGAACTTACAGCCAGAAGTAACTGGGCTGAATGCCTACTAAACAAAGCCAAAAATATCTATCAGGACTTCAATAGAACCCACGTTCCAGATATCACAGAATTCCAGAGTCTGAGGTACAGCAGCAAAGTACTGCTTTACAAAGAATGGTAACTCAGTTCCTGGTCACCCAGAGCCACAGTGAGATCCTACCTCAAGCAAACACCATAAAGAAAGATATCTGATTTACTATCAAAGGAAATTAAAAAACAAACAAGATATTGATGACAAGACAAAGTAAGTTGGGTTAGCAGAGACTTATAGCAGCTATGAAATTGTGTTCCATGAGGTAAAAGAAAAATTCAAATGAAAAGAAAGAAAAGATAGAAAAAATAAACAGAGATAAGACTGTTTAAAAAAAAAAAACAAAACTAAAACAAAAACAAAAAGCCAAAAAAACAAAACCTAAATAAAAATGTTAGAGTAGAAATCCGTCCATGATGAAGACCTTTAGTCCGAGCACTTGAGAGGCGCGGAGGCAGGTGGATCTCAGTGAGTTCAAGTCCTGTCTGGTTTACAAAGCTAGTTTCACAACAGCCAAGGCAACATTCACAAAGAAACCCTGTCTGGAAAAAACAAAGCAAAAGAAAGAGTTGAAAACACCTACTTGAAATAAAGAAACTGAATGAGCTCCCTGGCAAACAGGTGCAGAGGGAAAGGCCAGGACCTTCCAGGCCCTCCAGGAAAGACGACTTCTCTAGGCAACTTGGGGTCACTTTAGGAAATCTAAGAAGCTGCAAGAATCCAAAAGGAAAGACATAATTTGAAAATGCCGAATCTTCAAATTTTGGCTAAAAGTAGTACACCCAATTCAAGGTCAGTACACCACCTAAAACTCAATTAGAAGGAAACCATGTCTAGATAGATCGTGACCAAACTGCTGAAAACCAACCACTGAACAACCAGAATCATCTTGGGATCAGCTTTAAAAAGAATCCTGAGCAGTGGCTGCCTGGGACCTCGATGGGGTGGGAGGGTCGAGGAGAGGTGGGGAGACTTGAAACTTCTGCCAAATTACTGACCCTTTATCAGTTTTCTCATTTGTAAGATGAGGACGGTATCAGGAATGACTTCCTAGGCTAAGTGAATTCAGACATAATCTGTGTAAGGAATTTAGTACAGTACTCAGTTTACCTCACCTAATTTAACCACTGTTTTTTAAATTACAAAAATCA